GGTGGGGTGAGCCCTAGCCGCCGGGCCTCTAGCCAGCCCTTCTAGAGCGAGCTGGATAATAGCTAGGAGAGTGGTTGGTGCGGAGCGACTTCTGACATCTTGAGCTTCGTGGCTCTCATTTGAGGAATGAGAAGACATTGCGACAACTTGGGAGCTTTGATTTATGGGGGACCTGCCTTCCTGAAAGTTTTTGTAAATCACATCCCCTTTTGAATGCAGGGAAAACTTTTTTGTTCTAGAGAATTCCCCGGGGATGTGAAGACTTGCCTTCATTTTCACATGCTTCCCATCTGCCCAGCATGGGAGCGAAACCCTCCTTTTGGCCCTAACTGGAGTCTCACTGACAAGGGCAACTGAGACCTGTCCACATCTAGTAAATACGATAGGCCGACACAGCAATGATTTAGGAGGCGAAACAGTTGAAACCCAGAGGACATCTAATCTCACAAAGTGAAATCAAACACTCCAAAATGATGGAGTAACAGGCAATAAAATCAAGAATTAAAGGTACAACATTCTGATTGAGAGTTGCAAGATCAGAGAAGCCAGAGGCAGGACAAGTTGAAGCCGTGGCTTTAGTGATTGATGGGAAACACCAATATGGCCTCTTTCGATTATTTGATTGGTTAGTTTAAATATGTGGCATGGTTTTACAGGGTGGTCATAAGGTCTTAAAACATTTCCTGAGGTCGACTAAAGGGGTATTTTGTCGAGACCCTCCCTTAAAACATTGTTTTCATATCTTTAAACACAGAGGGAAATGTTTCTTTGGTTATGTACTTAAGTCAGTCTTAGGGTTTGAGAGTTGTCAGGGATATCCTTTGTTATGTACTTAAGTTTGTTCTAAGGGTTTGACAATTACCAGGGAAATAAGCAAAAGCTAAAACTGAGTTGGGAGCTCTGGTAGCATAGTGCCTAAAGCACTTGACTGCTAACCAGAAGGCTGGTGATTCAAACCCACCAGCCACTCCTAGGAAGGAAGATGGGGCAATCTACTTCCGTTGTGATACTGCCTTGGAAACCCAAGGAGGAGTCACTATGAGTCGGGTCTGACTTGATGGCACATAACAACAACAACAACAAGACTGAGTTGGGGCTCAGACCTGGCTGGTAATTCTGATATGAGTCAAGTGCCTCAGATTTGGAAACACCTATTTTTCCTCCTTTTGATCAAGAATGTCATTAACATCCTTTGATCATTATTACAAGAATGTTTTTCTGTAGGGGCTTGTAATGATTTTTTAGATGGTTACTTAGGCAAACCTTTTAAAATCTCTGACACTACTATCAAGTAATGAGGCACCATCTGACCTCTTCACCCTGTCATGACTTACCAATTAGCTTTTGGTGATCTTAGACTGGGGCCCTATGTGGAGGAACAGCTTGATTGTTAAAGACTGGCTCAGGATGGACTTGAGTCCATTTGGGAAATGGGTCTCATTTATGTATATAAATTTATTTATAGGTATTAAATTGGACCTTTGATTATTCTGATCATTATTACCATAAGTAATATCATTATCAAGTTAGCAATATAAATCAAAGAGTCAATACCTCCTGAAAATACCATCTGAAAACATCAGACTAAGAGAATTTAGAATTTGAGCCTTTTATATGTAGCCAGATAGTTTTTTGATTAATTTCTTCCATATCTTGTTCAACTTCATGGGTATTGCTAATTTAGGTGCAACAAGAAGTGTTTACTATAGCACAAACACCTCCTTATTGGGATAAAATAAAATCTACAGCTATTCTGTTATCTAAATCATTTCTGTAAGGGAGTTTAAGGACTCTTACTCCATCAGGAATTTTATTTATGATTTGTTCTTTGGAGGCAGACAAATTTTGAGTTCCTGCTCTATTTTGGCTACTTTATAAAAAGAAAAAAATGATTTTAAAAATTTATATCCCCTCCAGCCAAATGATAGATGGGCCTGTAAGGTGAACAATAATACCAGGGAGGTACACACTCGTTAGAACAATCAACCCTACAAACTCAAAAGAGCAGCATTTGCCCAGGGATAAAGCTAAGAAGGCAGGAAGGAATAGGAAAGAAGAATGAAGGGAAGTGGTAAACACAAGGAGGAAGTGGGAAGAGTGCTGTTACATTGTGGGGATTGTAATGTATGTCACAAAACAAAATGTGTATGAATTGTTGAATGGAAAAACAATTTGCTCTGTAAATTTTCACGCAAATCACAATAAAAATTAATTAATTAATTTAGAAAAATATTTAAACTCATTGCCATCAAGTTGATTCCGACTCATAGTGACTTTATAGGGCAAAGTAGGACTGCCTCCATAGGTTTCCAAGGCTGTAAATCTTTATGAAAGCAGACTGCCTCATCTTTCTCCCATATGCTCCATGGTGGGTTTGAACTGCAGATCTTTTGGTTAGAAGCTGTGTTATGCTGGGTTCTCTAGAGAAGCAAAACCAGTAAAGCTTATATATACTTATAGAGAAAGAGAAATTTATCTTAGGAAAATGACTCGCACACCTATAGAAACTGGCACGTCCCAAGTTCCTGGATCAAATGTCAAGTTGGAGGCTTTTTTCCCGACTCGCACAGCTGCAGTGGCAGATGAACTCAAGGTTAGCAGGCAGTATACGGGCTGTTGACTCCAATAGATGATGATTCCAAGATCCCCAGGCCAAATGGTGGATCATTCACTCATGGACAGTTGTAGGCAGCATAACAGGATTCAGATCCATAGAAGAGTCTGATTTTTTCCAAGGATGTCCATATATATATTGGAAGCAGGCCACACCTCTAGGGAAACTTCCTTTCAATGGATTGGCTACTCAAAGCATATACATCTGATCTCATCATGAGAATAACCACATCACAACTCCTTAAACCACTCAGAATCATGGTCCAGCTGAGTTGACATACACCCCAACTATCACAGTCTACCCCTTGTCAACTTGGTAGTTGTATACATCTCCTTAACCACATATAATCTCTGAATAAGGACAATTATAAAATCATATTTGCACCTAACGTGATACACTAACACATGTACAACTGAAATGCATTAACCCTGTTTACATTTCATAGTTAATAACAGAAGAAAACAAAAACATCTGATGCACACATACAATGAAGAAATAAAACAATCACATTCCTTGTTTCTGCAATTGGTCACATGGTCATAGCTGATATTCAGAACTACCTTCTTTCACTATCCATTCCGTATTTCCCTTGCCCTCATCAAGCACCTCAGCTGGTCATGGTTCTTTGCCTGGTGGGGTGACCCAAACCTTCAGTCTGAAAGGTCTGGGCCATTAGTCTTCATATCAAAATTGGGTTGCTGTAGTTTTTCATTGACTTTAATCACAGCGCATGCTAGTACTAAGAGACATCCTAAAGAATCTCCTGTATTCCAAACATATTCTTCTTGAACTCCATTATGTAATATCAATCCAATTTCCCCCTGGTAATCAGGATCTATCACACCAGACAGTACAGTAATGACCTTCTTTGTCTGTTGATCCAGAGGAATGAGGAAGCCAAAATGTCTGGATGGCATTCTTTTTATTTATTTATTTATTTGTTTTTATTTTATTGTGATTTGGGTGAAATTTTACAGAGCCAATACACTTTCCATACAGCAGATCACATACACTTTGGCTCATGACATTGACCACAATTTAGCACAATGCAACATCTCTGGGTGGCATTCTTAACTTCAAGTTCAATGTAATCAGTATTGTATCTCCAGGTGGGAGTGCTCCCCCCTTTGGGACTAAGATCTCCAGACCCATAGAGCATAGGGTAGCAGGGACAGGAAGCAAAAAAATGTTTTGAGTGGGTCACTAGGAGTAATAGTGAGTGGTGGCACTCCGGGTTCTAGCCCTTGCTTCCTTGACCCATAAATCCTGGCTATTGGAGAAATAGTACGACATATTGGATGCTGCTTTAGAGCATACACAGCCTCCTGGAGAACATTGGCCCAGGCCTTCAAGGTTTTGCCACCTAGCTGGTGCCATAATTGTGTTTTCAGTAGGCAGTTCCATTGTTCCATCAAGCCAGCTGCTTCTGGATGATGGGGAACATGGTAAGACCAGTGAATTCCATGAGCATAGGCCCATGCCACACTTCCTTTGCTGTGAAGTGAGTCCCTTGATCAGAAACAATGCCGTGTGGGATACCATGACAGTGAATAAGGCATTCTGTAAATCCATGGATGGTTGTTTTGGCTGAACCATTGCATGCAGGGAAGGCGAATCCATATCCAGAATAACAATAGGGATCTATCCCAGTAAGAATAAAACGCTGTCCTTTCCATGATAGAAGTGGTCCAATGTAATCAACTTGCCACCAGGTTGCCAGCTGATCACCCTGAGGTTCGATATCATGGACTCTGCTGCTGGCAGATTGGGCACTCAGCAGTGGTGGTAGACAAATCAGCCTTGGTAAGTGGAAGTCCATGTTGCTGAGCCCATGCATAACCTCCATCACTGCCATCATGGCCACTTTGTTCATGAGCCCATTGGGCAATGACAGGAGTAACTGGGGAAAAAGGATTACTGGTTTCCACAGAATGTGTCATCCTATCCACTTGATTGTTTAAGTCCTCCTCTACTGAGGTCACCTTTTGGTGGGCATTCACATGAGACACAAATATCTTTACTCCTTTGGCCCATTCAAAGAGAGCTAGCCATATACCTCTTTCCCATACCTCTTTGTCACCAATTTTCCAATCACGCTCTTTCCAAGTCCCAGACAATCCAGCAAAGCCATTGGACACAGCCCA